TGGACACACCTGTGGCTACAGGAGCTGTAGAAGTCATGATCCCATTTGAAGGCAAGGCTTCACACGCAGAAATTGAACTCTATGGATTGAAGATTGGATTGCTCATGTACCTCGCTGTCCAGACTCGACCAGATATCTCATATGGAGTCTCTGTTCTGTCCTCCTCACCAATCCTTCGCCAGCTCACATGAAAGCAGCAGATCGAATCCTTCACTACTTACAAGGCACAAAGATGCTTGGAATCGAATATGGCATGCAAGGCGATACGCAGCTCCATGGATACAGTGATCATACACCTGATTGCTGCATTGTGGAATAGTCTAAGCTACAACCCTTTGGCTCTGTTTCCTAAGACAGTGTGTTGTCTTAGTAAAATCATCCCTTCCTTGGGTGGCTAGATTCTCACATCTGGTGCACCCACCATTACACTATACGCAACATATGCAGATAAAAGATATTTTCAACATAGATGAAACTAGGCTCTTTCAGAAGATGACACCAACTCGAACGCTAGCTACTGAAGCTTCGAGTAGGGGAAAGAAATCCAAAGATAGGATTACTCTCGCATTTACGACAAATTCGACTAGAACTGAGAAGCTATATATGGGTTGTGGGAAAGTCGAAGAATCCTCGATGTTTTAAAAATATTAATGTTAAGCGCATGCGGATTCAATATCGATACAATGAGACAAAATGGATGACAGGGTTAATTATGAAAGAATACCTAGACTGGTTAAATGAGAAAATGAAGCATCGCAAGATACTGTTATTACTTGATAACTTCTCTAGACATGAAGTCGGAGTTGAACTTGTTAGTGGATTACAAGGTTTGTCGAATGTTCGAATTGCTTGGCTTCTACCAAATACAACATCTCATTGGCAACCTCTTGATTAGGGAATAATTGCAAGCTTCAAACTTAGGTATCGAAAACAATGGATTAATTACATGTGCGCTTGCTCGAGGCTAATAAGAACCCTAATAAAACAGTTAATATTCTAAAGGTGATACAGTGGAGTCGACTTACGTAGGAAGCACTTAAAGCACCAAAAATCCAGAAATGTTGGTGGGATCGACTCTCATAAAAAAACCAGAAAATATGGATATGCGTCAAGATAATACTGCTGAGGTCGAGGAACTAGGAATGGAAGTTGCGAGGCTACCAGTGTTCGGCACGGATACCAATATACCCGTGGTATCCGGGTATATCCTCGAGTATATACCTACCCGGCGATATTTTAGGAGTATCCGGCGTATCCGGATACTCTCGAGTATATATCCGGATACATGCCAAGAATAGCCAAGCGCAGCCAAGACCTCTTTTTTCCAACGTCGTGAGATCTATTGATGCTGTATAAAGTGATAATTATCCTCAGAATGAGCGACTCGTCGTTATCAGATATACCAACGGAGCCTGAGGGCTATAATAGCTATGATACTCATAATGAGCCAAGTCTGCCAACGCTGCCGCCCCCTATTCATATTCAACAGGATATTAATCCTACACCGCTCCGGCTTCAGCCTCCAGGACGAATGCTGCCACCAACGTCATCAGTACTATTTACGAAGCTATTATATTCGCGATTGATACTTGATAGTAACCCACCTACAGTCAAAGTAACTTGCTTACAACCAGGCTGCGGATATTCACCTACTCCGCAGCTATTAAGTCAGACTTCAACCGGTAATCTTTGGAAGCACTATACGCAGAAGCATCCAACAGTAGCATATACAATGAAAGGTCATACAATTACGCCGTCAAGCCCATCAAGTAGTGCATCGTCATTTTTTGAGCCACGGCCGCGGAACCCGCAAGTCCAGCCCGCTCAAGCTCAAGCATCAAATAGTAGAGCGAAATACCGAGAGTTATTACTCTCATTCGTTGTATCAAATAACCTCTCCTTACGACTTATTGAGAGCTATTCGTTCCATCAATTAGTACAGTTCTTAAGCCCAAGTACTCTATCGATATCGTCGCGAACACTACACCGAGAGCTACAGCGGCAATTCTCATATCACCGAGGATTGCTACAATTAGAACTCCAGGCTCATATTACCTATGGCGGCCGGATATCTATTACAACAGATGCATGGACTGCACGGAACTATACAGAGTACGCTGCTGTCACAGGCCATTGGATTAATGAGAAGTGGCAGCACCGGTGCGTATTACTTGATGTAATCCACCTTCAAGAGCCAATTCATAGCGGCGAATATCTCGCTCAAGAGTTAGCTGCAGTAACAGATAGCTTCGAAATTACAGGTGCTATATTTACTTGTACGCGGGATAATGCCTCAGCGAATACTGTGATGCTTTCAGAATATGAGAAAAAGCCAGTAAGCAGCAGACGACTATTCAACAGCCATGGACGTTTACTGTAAAGGAAGGGGACGTTCGGTGTATTGCTCATATTATCAATCTTGCAGTTCAAGCTACTCTAAAGAGCTGAAAGCTAGCCCGGATACAGAAACAGAAGCGTACTGGTGTCAGCAAGGGCTTGCCCGGATTCCGCAGCATATTGATAACTCTTCTACTGAAGTATCAGCTACGCTTGAGAAGCTCCGAAGGCATATTTATGTCTTTCGAAACCGAAGAGCATGGAAGGATGCTTTACAGAAGCAGATACAAGCTGCAGGCCAGAAGCCACGCCAGCTATCACTTGATATGCCTATACGCTGGAATTCAACGTACTATATGCTTGAAACAGCTATAAAGCTTCGAATACCAATTACTGCAGTATGCTCTACGCAGAAGCTTGATATCAGTATGAAGGATATTGCGTTAACAAGCAACGATTGGGCTATTATCGAAGCTCTTGAACGATTATTCTTAGTATTCTTAAAGCCGTCAAGACGGCTACAAAGCGATTCATATCCAACGCTCAACTTTACAATTCCTCTTTACTTAAAGATGATAAATAAGGTCACATTACTACAAGAAGAGCTTGGTAGAAGCTCTACGATCGAGTAGCTTGTGGAGCTGCGCTTCAAAAGCTTAATGAGTATTATACTCTTACAACGAATCGGCAATGTAAGCACTCAGCTGTTGCTACAATTTGCGACCCACGAATGAATCATACAGTATTTAAGAAGATATATCCAAATGCTATAGACGATACACGAAGATTACGAGCAAGAGCGCAGTTCGAAGACGTTTGTAGAACGTACCAAAAGCGAGAGTATCACCTTGATATGGAGCGAATTACTCACGAAACAGCTCTTGCAGAAGCAATAGGTGCTACTGCTACAATAGATCAAGAACCTGATTCTGACGAAGATCTATTTGCGTCAGAAGGCTTGGCTTTTCAAGAGCCAGAATGGAGGCGCTGGATGCTTGAACCACGGCCCGGTGAGCATACTGATATTCTCAAATATTGGTGCGCAAAGCAATACCAATATCCAGTTATTGCCCGTATTGCTCGTGATCATCTAGCTATTCCAGCAACATCTGCAGCATCGGAACGAGTATTTAGTAATGGTAGTGATATTATTACAAAGAAGCGGAATAGGTTATCACCGCCAACTATTAGATATTTACTTTGCTTACGGAATTGGGGTAAAATACGGGAGGCTGATAGCGACGGCGATGATGCTGACGATGAAGCACCTGAATAGGGACTCGCAGAAAGGGGGGGTCTCACGGAAAGGGGGCTCGCGGAAAGGGGTTTACTACTATTATCAAAAGCTTCATTCTTTTTTATATACGCTATTCTATTTTTATATACAATATTCAGCCTCATGTATCCGGATATATACCCTACCCTACCCGTCAGATCGTCGCCGGGTATATACCCTACCCGTGAGCTTCACGGATACTACCCGGATATGTATCCGCCGAACACTGGAGGCTACTAGGAGATGTCATGCCAATTGCAGATTTTCTCAACCCTATAGGCAAAGAGATAGTTGACAGAGATGAAGATATTTTCGAAGCTATAGTACAGAGATACACTATTACAGAGGAGGATGGGATTGCAGACAGGGACGAGGAAGGGGGAGAGGAAGAGATCCGACCATCACTTGCAATCTCCCCCTTCCTCGTCCCTGTCTGCAATCCCATCCTCCTCTGTAATAGTGTATCTCTGTACTATAGCTTCGAAAATACCCTTTAATTATTTGCTTCCCTCGCTAAAGATGGAGGTCGGATTTCAGTAATAAAGGCATTAGAACAGATTGGCAAGGATATCTCGCAAGAGAAAGTCGCGAAGAGTACCTAACGTTTACTAGATGGCTGGGTGTCAAAGTAGCATACAATTTTTTTTTTTTACATATATTCCTGAGATTTCCGTGAACCTCCACATAAGGATATCCTCGCTATAGGGATGCCACACCCGGTCCCGAGGGCATCCCTATATCCAGGTTCAACTGTAGCAGTGATTTAGCCGTAAGTGTCCAACATTGCCCGGGAATAACCCAGGGTTTTAAGATTTGGACAGAAAAATAAATGCGGAGAAGAATTAATAATTTATGTGTTATGGCGGCCTCACCACACACAGAATTTTTCCTCGTAGAGCAACAATATCACAGGGGCATGTTGCCTCCCTTATTGGACCTCGTCCAGTCTCTCGCCATCCGCTGGTGCGCCGTCCTCCTCAATTCCCTTCCACTACCATCCTTTCGTTCCCCGCCCTCATCCGCATCCCTAACCTATGTACCGAAGGCGCTCTCTTTGCTCAAACTCTTCAGAATCCCGATACAATCTTCGCTCTGCTGTCTTCTCACGCAGCTCTCCACGTACCGACGCTGAAACATTAGATAAATGATCATCGGGTGACGGATCACTGGGTGACGGACCATTGGAGGGATCATTAAGTGACGGACCACTATGATTATGAACGTGCATGTCCCTAAGTCTGTAAAATAAATGAATATTCTATGTTTGCTTGGCCCCTCAACCACGATGTCTAAAACCCAGGACTTGTCTTGAAGGGTAACTTTCGATGCAGCCTCGACACAATCTCCGTATAATCCTTCTCGTTCTCTGCGGTGATGAAGCCGTGTCTTACAAAAAATCAATCATCACTGTTGCACAGCTAGGCTTAAACTCCCCATTCCTCATCGCCTCCTTTACCTCATCAACGCCAAGCAAGTGAAAACTCTGCACGTCGTTGTCGACTGGCTTGAAAACCACGTCCTCGCCTACCTCCAGGTCGTACACATACAGCATTCCCGGATTCATAAGCCCCAGTTCTCCGCCAGCCTTCTCGTCAGATATATTGAACCACGTTACAGTTCCCACAGCCACCGTGTCTCGTCGTACAAGCTCCTCTGATAAAGCGGCCTCTTCACCAGCCTCACGAACAAGGCATTCAAAGGGCATCTCACCCCTTGCCACGCCTCCTGCGACAGTGTTGTCTAGCATGTTCGGCCAGGTGGATTTCTTCGCATTTCTTCGCGGGACCCAGAACTTCATTTCCGAGCTCGTACGTGTGTAAACGGTCATATGTGCCCTCTTCCCACGATACCGAATAGCGAGCTCGCAGACCGTTCGATACCAATATCGAAACTTGCACCTACAATTGGAAATTGTTCATCGCGCTTCTTCCCCAGTCCAGGAAAAACCTTCTTCTCGCGGGTGAGATCGAGTAGGTCATCAATCGCTTTTTGACACGCTTCTTTCCAGTCATCGAGATCCTGTTTTATCAGATGGACTTCTTTATATGGGGTCGTAATGAGGCGGAAATCGGACGTCCATGGCATGCGTTGAACGATGGAGTCCAGGAGAAAGCCGTGTGGTTGAGGATCGTCGGGAAGGAAGAAAAGCCATAACGACTCTAGCTCTCTGTTGCAGTCATCTGTATGCCATGGTTCGTAGTACGGGAAGCTGAGATTCGAGAAGCACTAGTAAGCCCAAGTTGATAGGGAGATGCGATGTGAGGGCGAATTTACTTATCACACTCGTGGACAACTTCGAGAATGCTCTTCATAGCTGTTGGAAATCAGGTAGGATACCTACTGCGACAGTCTTCGTAGGGAGGATTGAGGATAGAGGGGATCCAATACAGAATGGGTCACAACGCGATGCTTGCGACCTTGCGCTTTTAAGCAGCGCAGTTGTGCTCATGATATGAATACAACATTTTACATCAGCAGGGATACCTGCCGCTAGCCGAGTAGGGCTAGCTACAGGCATCCCTACAGTTACGGAGCTTGCGCTAAGATTAGCCTATAACTTAAGCCTACGCCGATTACAGGACAGCTACACCATAACGCCCCTTAACAGCATTATTTGTGTAGCTGCATCATTAACACTATCATTAGAAATTTTCAAGACAATCCTTTACAATGGTATATACCTCTGTATTCCCTGCATTTTTATCTCACATCTGGTGCACCCACCATTACACCTCTGTAGCACCAAACGCTCGAATACTACGATATGGATTAGTTAACTTGGTATGGAGATACTCACAAAGTTATCGCTGCAAACACGACACGTGTAGCAACTTGATTCTTGGTAGGCTCGAGCCTGTTAAGGAAGGTAGGCTGCTAGCTACAGTAAGGCTTTCTGTAGTTGACATCTCATACATCTTGTCATACTGACATTCGTTGCACTCAGTTTGCTATCAAACTCAAGAGCAAACTTAGAAATCTCCTCCTCAAACCTACAAGTCACTATACATATTTTGGCTTTTCATACCAACAACAAGAGCAATACTACTCAACGATTGCTACAACCCTCTATGATTCATTACACGTCATTGCTCCTTAGTTACTGGGCCGATATGACCACATAGCATATCTCTACAACCCTCTATGATTCATTACATGACATCACTCCTTAGTTACTGGGCTAATACTACACATGACATATCTCTATCAACTAGAGGCCTAGGAACATGAACGATAGCTCCAAAAGCTTTTACAACCGTCTATGATTCATTACACGTCATCGCTCCTTAGTTACCCACAAGATTGGTTAAGTTATGACATAATTTGTCTATAGGGGTACTCTGACCTTGGACCTCCTTTCACTTCCTATAGGCTAGGAACCTAGGAGATGGTTCTATGGGATTCTCTTACGTTGACTACAGTTACCAAGCCTGGTTAGTCATGGAAAGTCTTGGAAAATGAGAGAACTACACTCCTTTAGCATAAATAGGATTGCCCTTTCCTTAAGAAAGGGCAAGCAGACAATACAGTAAATCAACTATCACATACTTCCACGTCTTTTCCAAGCTTCCAAGCAGTGATCTTGTTACTCCTTGTTTCTGAAAAGTCAGTGAGGTGCTAACCTCTGACTTATCCCTGAGTTCTCAGACTCAACATTTGTTACGACTTGTCTAAACCACTCCACTATATCATACACCTGATTGCTGCGTTGTGGAATAGTCTAAGCTACGACCCTTTGGCTCTGTTTCCTAAGACAGTGTGTTGTCTTAGTAAAATCATCCCTTCCTGGGGTGGTGTAATGGTGGGTGCACCAGATGTGAGAATCTAGCCACCCAAGGAAGGGATGATTTTACTAAGACAACACACTGTCTTAGAAAAATAGCCAAAGGGTCGTAGCTTAGACTATTCCACAACGCAGCAATTAGGTGTATGATATAGTGGAGTGGTTTAGACAAGTCGTAACAAATGTTGAGTCTGAGAACTCAGGGATAAGTCAGAGGTTAGCACCTCACTGACTTTTCAGAAACAAGGAGTAACAAGATCACTGCTTGGAAGCTTGGAAAAGACGTGGAAGTATGTGATAGTTGATTTACTGTATTGTCTGCTTGCCCTTTCTTAAGGAAAGGGCAATCCTATTTATGCTAAAGGAGTGTAGTTCTCTCATTTTCCAGACTTTCCATGACTAACCAGGCTTGGTAACTGTAGTCAACGTAAGAGAATCCCAGAACCATCTCCTAGGTTCCTAGCCTATAGGAAGTGAAAGGAGGTCCAAGGTCAGAGTACCCCTATAGACAAATTATGTCATAACTTAACCAATCTTGTGGGTAACTAAGGAGCGATGACGTGTAATGAATCATAGACGGTTGTAAAAGCTTTTGGAGCTATCGTTCATGTTCCTAGGCCTCTAGTTGATAGAGATATGTCATGTGTAGTATTAGCCCAGTAACTAAGGAGTGATGTCATGTAATGAATCATAGAGGGTTGTAGAGATATGCTATGTGGTCATATCGGCCCAGTAACTAAGGAGCAATGACATGTAATGAATCATAGAGGGTTGTAGCAATCGTTGAGTAGTATTGCTCTTGTTGTTGGTATGAAAAGCCAAATATGTATAGTGACTTGTAGGTTTTGAGGAGGAGATTTCTAAGTTTGCTCTTGAGTTTGATAGCAAACTGAGTGCAACGAATGTCAGTATGACATCAAGCTCTTTCATATCAGTACCGACACACCCGAGGCAATATGTCGAAAAAGCCGACATCAAACATACCCCAAGACAACAATGGTCAACTGCCCAGAATGACTACCAGACAAACCACTGCTGCAGCTACGACCGCTGTGCCATCCGAAGACATCCCGAGTCGAATGGCCCACCTCGAAGCACAGATACAGGAGGTCAAGGATCTAGTAGTTACCCTGACGGCAGAATCTAGATAGTTAATGGATAGCTTAACTATCTAATATCCACTAACATGCATGTATAACGAAAGTGCAAACAAGCGAAAGTGCCAAAATATCGCGACTACCCCATAAGAATTGCGATAAATCCACCACAACAATATAAATTAATTAAAACTACTCGGAGTCCTCTTCCTCAGACCTGTCTATTACAATCTGACAAGTGCGCGCATTGTGTCCAGTCTCACCACACTTGCCACAGCGACGTGCATGGGTTTCTTCCCTTGGCTTCCGACACTACTTGCCCTTATTTCTTGCTCTACTTGCTGCACAACGTCCCTCTCGTCCTGTAGCTCCTGTGCTACCTGTTGACTAAGTGATCCTCCTTGCTGTAGTCGTGTTTTTTTAGCTCTCCGGCGCTTGCTTAGCACTTCATTTGCCTGTCGCAGGTTTTGGTTCTCTGCTTTTAACAATGCTAATTGATGCATTTTTGCGATGCACCCTTTGTAAACTGGTCAACAGCTGCATAGATTGAGGTTGGAGAGCTATTTTGATGATGCGCAATTCGATTTTTAATGAAAGTAGACTGTGATACAGCTTCAGTTGGGTTATTTGGTGTCTGAGAAACCCATGGTTGAGCGGTGTTTGGGCGAGAGGTTGGAGGTGTTGGCGTCTTAAACCTAAGGTCAAGTGTAGATATTACACTCTTAGGGCTAAATGGAAGAAGCTCAGCACCTCGGAACCCTCCCTGAATATTGCTTTCTGTCATTGCAATGTTAAATTCAGCGTGGAAGGCAGGAAAGAAGTCATCCTTAGTAATGTGAATAATATGAGCCCGCATCATATCTTCAATTTGCCGACCGTAAGCTCTCTTTAATGGGCCAAAACAGCCAACATCAAGTGGTTAGAGTATATGGGAAGAGTGAGCAGGCATACAAAGCGTAATAATGTTGTGTTCTTTGCAGTACTCCTCAAACTTGTCTGAGTGGTGGCTCTCATGACCATCAAGGACTAACAAGCGATAACCACCAACACTCCGGGGCTTTGTGTGCTTCTCAAAATGCTGAATCCAATCCATACCTCTCTCATTTGTAGTCCAGCCATTTGCAGTAACAGCGATTACCCAATCTGCTGGAAATCCGCTATTCTCATACCAAGATGCAAGGTGGTTTTTACCTGCCACAATGACAAATGGCGGCACTGCCCAACCTTGAGAACTAATGCCTTGGATTACTGTAACCCATTCCCGATTGCCAGGCTGCACCTTTTTTGCCTTTGCCCGCCCATCTGAGCTCGTTACTACCGTTGCGCTTGAGATGACGCCCATCATAAACCCAGTCTCATCAAAGTTGTAGATATCTGCATTGTTGATGCCATACTTTAGAATTGTGTTCCATACAAGCTCAAACCAGCCACGAATGACTTCTGGATCTTCGCACTTAGCCCTGGTAGTCGTATTTTCGCTGGAAGCATGTCCGGAGCTCTACATGGCGCTTAACAAAGTTTGAAGCCCAACGTGACCCGACGCGTGGTGTGCGTCGCGTGTTGCAAGTAGTCGATTTGCCATATCTTCAACAATAGACAACTGAGGAGGGAACCCTTTAGCAGCTAAGTCAAGTATATACTGAACAAGAACTGATTCCTCTAGGTTACTTAATTTCCGTAAGTTGGCTTGGATATCGCGTCGTGAAGGTACACCTTGTAAACGGTGACGTAGCTTGCGGTGGTCTACGGAATAGATCCTAGCTGCAACTCGAAGGCGCAAATTTGGGTCGCTTTGCATAGCTTGGATAGCTAGCACTAATTTGCTTTCATCATTTTTATGGCGCATGTTTTGTTGTGGAGGAATTTAACATTTAGTTGGGGGGTTGGTCGCCGCATGATTTTGGCACTTTCGCTTGTTGGCACTTTCGTTATACATGCACGTTAGTTTTTACAACTATCTACTAGCCTAGTCACGCTAACGGCATAATGGCATAAGCAGCATAGTGGGGGGGGACTCATTAACAACACTAAGAAATCAATTATTACTACTCTAATATTCTACTACAATGCAGTCATGTTCCTCCTCTAAGTCCTCCTTAATATTTCCTCATTATCTTGCTTAATTACAACATTGTTTGTAGCTCTACTACTCATTCTTGTTGCTCTCCTTTAAGTCGCTTCCTTAGCTGCTACAACTTGCAACTGCAATTCCTCTGTAGAAATGTGAAATTGACCCTTTAAAATTGCCTGTTTACCTTCTGCTATGTCCTCTGTGTCTGTATTATCACTCGTAGATTGTCTGCGTCACGTTGTTGTAGAAAGTTCTATGTGTTAAGCCGCTCTGTTACATTTGCCAACTTTTGAATGTAACGAGCTATAGGAGTGTTAATCACTATGCAGGCTTCTAAAACTGTAGATAGCACTACATTTGCTTTCCGTAATGTTGCAAAGTCAGGTGGACTACTGTTTTGAAAGACAGTCTCAAAAATGTCATGTTGTTGTGGTGTTTGAGGCTGTTGTAGTGTTGTATCTACCATTAGAATTGTCACTTCACAGATGAGATTTTGTGGTTGGAATGGTTGCAACCCTGCTCCTCTCTATGCAGAAATGATACCTGAGTATTTGTGCTTCATTAAGGTGTGAGAGAGCTGTTATGAGGTGCTTCTTTAACGGTCTAAAAATTGTGCCATCAAGTGGTTGTACCACATGTGAAGTGTGAGGTGGTAGTATGAGGATTGATATGCGATTTTGCATACAATGTGAAATGAAGCTTCTACTTATATGGCTATTATGGCCATCGCAAATAAGAAGGTGTTGTTGCTTTTCTCCATCAGTGTTTTCATGCGTTACAGGCTCAAAAACGCGTTTAAGCCACTTAACTCTATGTAAATTACTTATCTACCCCTTTGAATTTGTAGAGAAGTATCACTTGCTTATAACTTCTTGTCGAATCCAACTTTGTAACATGTTCTGTCCCTTAAATATAATGAAGGGGTCAATAGTTGTACCATCTATACAAATGCACTCAACTGTAGAAACCCATTCTTGTCGCCCTTAATGTGCTTGATGACGCATATAGAGTGTAGAATCTATAATAATTCAAGTGCTCTCTATAGTTCCAATTGAGAATCCTGTCTCATCCATGTTATACATATTGTGCTCTTGTATGTGAAGATGTGTTACAAGGTCTTTGTACGTGTCAAACCACCCTATTGTCATGACACTCCTTCGATATTTGTGTCATGACCCTTCGATTCGCTTTAGTCTCTAGTACTTATTTCACTATGTCCTTCACTTCACCTGCTTTGCTCACTTTGCTCAATTCGCTTCACTTGCTGACCTAGATCAGCCCAAATGTTGACTACTGGCTTAGGCTCTCTTGTTTTTTCACTGGCTCGCTTCACTAGGGCTCGCTTCACTAGGGCTCGCTTCACTAGGGCTCGCTTCACTAGGGCTCGCTTCACTAGGGCTCGCTTCACTAGGGCTCGCTTAGCTAGGGTTCAGTTAATTAGTGCCTTCGCTTATTTGGCACTAGGGATTTTTACTGTTTATAAGCACTTATTGCTCATGTCTCTTATTGATCTTTAGCTAGCAAATTATATACTTCTTGGCCTTCTTGCAAATCATCCTGCTTCGACTTACTTTGCATCCCCTTACTTCAAGTCGAACCACTAGCCAACCTGTAGTCCCACCACTTGACCTCTATGGTATAAAGTATATGCTTTGGAGTCTGAACTACTATACCTTGTCCTACTGCTTCGAGTATTGAAGTCTTCACATTATACTTCAGATACTTCTGCACCTCAGTCGAACTGTCCTTACACCTATCATAACTTGTTTTGTAACCCCACTCGTTCTTTGTGCTTTAATTCTTCTTCCTAATCATACTTGTAGATGTGGATGTTGTTTAATGAAGTGTGGAACCCACTCTTAGCCAAGAGGGAAGTTGGGAATTTGATCGTGTTGGTTGTGTTAGCTGTGTTGATTGTGATCATGAGTTTCAAAAATGCGGAACCCCGCGAGTCGATTGTCTCAAGTACCCGAAACCCATCCGACTCGGTTCCGACTCGGTTAGCCCACCCAAATGATCACACGTGACCCCGCAGCTACCCAGAGTCTACTCCCTAGAATGAGAGACGAGAAGGCATCCTTACAAAACAAGAGGTTCAACTGCCCTCTATAATTATCCCCTTCGTTTAATCCAAGTTAAAGGACATCAAGGGAGGGAATGTTGCCCTAGAGGTATTTCTTCCCACCGAAGTCAGTACCTATCCCACCCTCTCTAACAAAAGCTGGCTTTTGGTTTTTTAGAACCTAGTCGGAGTCCATGTTTCCTTGCCTAGAGGTGACTTGCAATCCGTTTTGTGAAGAACCTAGTGGGACTTTTGTTAAACACATAATTAGAGTTTGACGACTTGATTGAGAAACTACAGGGGCGAAGCCCCTATATATACACAGTTGGTATACAGGCTACGCATGTGCAGCGTACTGCCAGGAACGCAGTTCCAACAACTTTTGGCAGTTCGGGCCATAGTACTATGTTTCTGGTTCACAAAATGACCATGGTACTGTACATAAGAGAGAAAGGGTTGTGCATGGATTACTTCCCGCTATAAGATAGCAGTTCTTGCAAGTGTATCTGCCGACTTTCTTACAATCAGTGCTAGCACTGTCCGGATTCCAGTTCATACAGACGAATTCCGGAGTTGCCATTGTGTTGTAATGATACCCCAAAAGTCAGCCGTTGAGTTAAGATTCAAATGACTTTACGCACCCGGCGTATATAAAGCCTTGCTGCCTAATACGATTTCCCCGGATAGTGGCAGCGGGTGTCGGCTCTGCAACAGAGTATAAAAGTGAGGCGGACAAGGCTGGCAAATAAGAAAAGCCTTTGAACTTATTGGCCATTATAGCGGAGGCTAATGCAGCTAATGATATCCATGTAATTTTTTAAGCTTAAGTTACAGTAACAGAGAGGGCGGCACGGATTCCTAGCTTTTAAAGGCCGGATTACCTAAATAGGCCGGCTGTGTAAAAATTTCACGCCTCTTCACAATAATTAGAGTATTTCCGACGTATTTGCTTCATTTTCATTGGTCTATCAAATCTTGGCATATTTAATGCGATGTATTCCAAGTTGATAATCTCCAACGCGGCATGGTATCCCTTAAAATCACTTTGTCCCCCCTTCATTCCCTGGTCTGATATCACTTGGCATCGTCACAACACACTCCCCATCGCCATCAAGCCAGCACGCCCCGGCATTGCGGACTCTCCTCGAACTTGCCAAATATAGAAGTAGGTATACTTCTGACACGATTTCGCCCCAGCAATAGATGCGCCATTTCTCTCCTTCCAATCCCGTCTTATGTCCTCCGTCCTCGCCTCCTTCACCAACGTGCTCGCGATCCCTGACACACCAGACTCCCCACCCTGCCTTCCCTCGACCAATATACTCGCGGAGAAACTCCCACGTCTTCTCTCTTACTCGATCGTCCCACCCCACCTCGCCATCGTGTACATCGATACCCCAATACCCCTTTCATGTTTCCGTATCTCCCGACTCTGCGACACGGGGCGAAAACGCCCATACCCAATCTCTGCTGCAAGTTTCGCAAGTGGCAGCGTTAGGAACGTTGTGCTTACCTCCTCCGAGCCAGTGGCGGGTAAGTGGTAAATTGTTGATGAGCCTGGTATGCGGGATGCATGGCGCTTTCTCGATGGTCGCTGCGACGGTATGGAGGAACTTGGAGCTAGCACGGGCTTTTCTGAAGCAGGGAGGGCTGGGTTGGTCTGTCGACCTTCCTGATCAAAGGGGACGGGAGGTGTGTCTGAGACATGAGTAAGATCGCTGAGCAGGTGGGTAGATTTGCGTGCCGGGATTGGTAAAGGCAATGAGGGGAAGCTTCGCTTCTTGGGGCTTCGGCGAGGGCTATCTGGCGGCGGGGTTCTGCGGACCTGTAGGTTGTATTGGCCGAGTGATATTTGCCGAGGCAGTGATGGTGAAGAATATACTTCTGGGCGTAATGCAGATGTCAGTGTAGTGGAAGGCGCCTCTTCATTCCGTGTAGGCGCAGGGCTCAGTGGGGAAGTTATCTCTTTGGGATGTTCTTCCGATACATGAGCTCTGCTTCGCAATATTGGGCCAGACTGTCTTCCCCCATTTCCTATGTCAAAACCAAGTGCCTCAGCTGGTGGGGGAGACAAAGGCACTCGTACAGGAGATGGCGAAGAGTAATATGGGCTTTCAAATTGAGACAAGAACGTGTCTCGAATGACTGAAGGGGTTGAGCACGTTGGTATGGAAGGGGAGATTCCAACTGGCTCGTGGAAGTGCCACCAGTTTCACGACGCGGGCGCGCCTGTTCAACTAGTGAACTGATTATGGGCCTTGATGTTTGTTGTTCCCGTTTTATCCCTTTTCCAAACCCCTTTTGGCCAGCATTACTTGGTCTACCCCGGTCACGTGTGCGGAACCGTGGAGAGTTCATGCCATCAACACTCGTGAAGGAAATATCCAAAAACTGTATAGCGGAAAAAGCGGCGGTAGTTATCTTTGAGCGTGTGAGGTATTCCCTTCTCGGGGCAGAGGAAAGCTGAGACGCTGGCAGGCAGGAGTCTAGGCCATTCGAGAACATGTGACTTTGATCCTCGTTGGATTGAGAGTTGCGTATATCAGCACGAAGCTGCCGGTCTGGGCTCTCATCTCCACCTGACTCATCATTCCCACTCGCTATACCATCATCATCGTGTAAATCGATCCGTCCCTGGGGTTCGAAATTGAGGTAGGCTGCCGCAAGTGACCGATAGAGCGCATCTTCTTGCCCAAGACTTGGCGCCGTCGTATGAACGAGGATTTCAAGACGATGGTTGGCCATGATAACTGCGCCTTATAATCGGCATTATAGCAACTGATGGAGCTCAAGACAGAAATGGAGAAATGGCGACAGCTTGATACTGGTGTTGTAGATATCTCGCTGGAGTTGCCTGTATTGAGTCAGGTGATTTGATTTGACGCTAATACTATTTAAGCAAGGTGCAGCTGTGAATGAACTTCGAGGACGACGAGAGTAGGGGTTGGTTCAGCGTCAGTTATCATTGATTACATGATCTTCTCTACTAACTCTACAAGACATGGTTTTTTAATAATAACCCAGCTAAATAATGATCTATTCAAAGATCTACCGGAGCTTTGCTTGCCAGCTTGGCAGTCCTCGAGACGTTGTGGGCCCACACGTCTCGAAACCCACAACTTGTGGGTTTCACCAAGCTTCTATCGGCCCTAACCTCGCGTTTTAGAAATCTCAGAACGCTCCAGGGCACAGAAAATCAATATGAACTTGTCAGTCTTCGAAATTAAGGCGTTGTCTAGGCGAAACGCTAATTTCATGCTTGGCGACCCCGGTCCTAGCCTCGAACATTCTGCTAGGAAGCATCAATGCCGACTGGCACAGAGCTAGTATTGCTCTCTAACTCGGGGTTTTCAAACAGTCGGCTTGCTCTCCGGTGGCTACAGCAAGAGTATACAGCTCCGCATAAGAATACAAAGGTGCTATTTCTCGACTATCACGTTAGTCATACAAGTGATGATTTCATCATTACAGCTAAAGAACACAACATTATCATATATACCTTCCCATCACATCTTACACGCGTTTTACAGCCATTAGATGTTAGGATATTCCAGCCTTATAAGCACTAGCACCAAGAAGCTGTGCTTGCTGCTATACGGGATATGGATATTACCTACGACTTGTATCATTCATGTGGGGGATCTTACACGTATGCAGTAGCAGGCCTTCAAGGAGTCTACTATAGTATCTGCTTTTCAGAAAGCTGGTATTTGGCCAGTAAGCTGTACTACAGCTCTTGCAAAACTACGTATATACTCGCAGCCTATAATACAGCCTATAGAGCCTACGCCTACTCTACCAATCCGGGTTTCTACCCCTAAACCCACGACTTTTAGGAGGGTAGAAGAAGGGCTACAGCACTGGAAACAGCGGGTTCTAGAAGGCTTTCAAAGCAGAGCTACAGGAATTGGCTTATTGGCACCGAAGAGGTGGTGGTAGCAGGCCAACTCCAGGAGCTCGACCTCGGACTGTACGGCGGCAGGTTGATTAGTCTAAAAAGCAGGCAGGCCGAATCCAGGCCCGCCTTCAATTTGGAGGCGAGCTCTCTGCTAACCAAGCCCACGAGCTTCGGGCTGAGAAAGTCGAGCGTTTGGCCCAGAAGCTCCAGGCCAAAGAAGCCCGGATGGCTATCAACCGGGCCCGCAAACAGCTCCGTAGATCTGGAATTGACGCCCGGAAGCAGGAACGCCTCTGACTAAAGAGGGTGGCATTCTGCACCAATGCCAGCCTCCCAATTCCTCCAGAGTTGGGAGGACCCAATTCCTGACCCAGAAGCCTCCGAAAGTGAGGGCGAGGAGGAGTATGAGACCGCGGGCGAGTGTGCGAGCGAGCGTTGGAGTGAGCATGGGAGCGAGCGTGTGAGTCGAAGTGATAATTTAGCAGATAGGTATATTATGTACCTTTACATACAAATTGCTATGGACAGGTACTTACGCTTATAATCGTGAGGTGCCGCATCTTGCTTCCTCTCATGTGAAGTGCCGCAACTTGCTTACTCCAACCTTGAGCGAAGCGAAAAGTTTAGTCACGACGATTAGGTGAACGGACGTCGCGAAACCGCGCACATCGCTTCCGCTCATTTTGAAACCGCGCAGATCGCTTCCTCCAACCTTGAGCGAAGCGAAAATTTGCTCACGACGATTACCAGTTCTAGTCTTAAACTCCAGTGGAGAACTCCGTAGGTGACAGTTTACTATTCTACACCGTTACTCTGCAAGTTCTTCGGATTTTTTGGACTAGGGGCTAATAGGTATGTTAGCATGCTAAAGGCAATACGTTCTATTACATCAGGCACACAAGAACTTACAATGCAAGTATATGCTTCACAGCAAGGATGGTAGTCATCGCATTATACCGCCAGGGATCGTACTGCATGATCAAATAAGATCGGGCGAGAATAAACTTGGCACCTAGCGGCGCTTGAGAAGAAAAATTACAGAACGTCAATGTAGCGGTCAACGTTCCGACTCGCTCCAGTCGGCATCACCATGTCGGATTCTCTTAGATCGCGTTCTCGCGGCCATCAAGAAACATGCAGGAAAATGAGAGAATGAGGAGAGGTCAATCCCATTTGCCTCCATTGAATTTCATAACCGTCCACTATGCATTATTTATCGTCACCTGCTTGGTATGCTCTCTCATCTTCTGGGGCGCCTCAAGCCCGCCCAGAGCATTTCGTATACGGACTCTCTCTTCCTCGTCGTCTCT